GAGAAATGAAGCCGTTTTCTGACGCACGAAAAAAAATGATTACATACAAAATGGAATAACAATTCTGATGTTTAGAGGCTAAACTACCACACGCAGCTTATGGGTTAATGACTGCAAGTGCTAGATCCACGGGTTTCTAATCAAACAGTTTCAGGTCTATTTCATTTCATTTTTGTACATTTCCTTTATGTTGCCAGCGACACCAGTGTCGGAAATTAAAATGGCTCGCAGGTCGATTTATGTTGGGCATCATTGATCTACACAGTATGAGAATCGGCTCGAGACTAGATAACAATAACGTCTTACTGGAATGAAGATCTACCTACGACTGAAGAATTCTAGCTCCCACGCGTCTTTCTGTCCACGTGACTGTCTTGACCTCTAAATTTGCATAATTAGCATAACCAATGAAATCGCTTCTTTGGCTGATCAAATGATTTTCTATCAAGCGCTGCATGCATGATCACAGCGTCATTGGAAAAACCAGACTTGACATAAAAATTTCTTAAATAAAATAATATGTTTGACAAATGATACGTGACACTTATCTATATGATAAAAGCAACTTATTGTTATTTTAACTAATCTTAGTATTATAAAGTTGGTATGCTAGCCGATTTGGCGTGTTGGGGGAGGGCGATTCCGCTCCCCGACCCTTAACTTTCGAGTGGATGGGGCGGTCCAATTTTCGGCAGAAATCACAGGCTGTTAAAATAATTAGTTACATATCTATATGATAAAAGCTAGCATATAACTTAACTGACCTTTATATTATGTCGTTCATCTTCTGGTATCTTGGTCGCTTCTGTGGCTGTGGGTAGGGGGCGGGGGCGATTACAGCTACTGCCCTACTCACTCTTGACTTTTGAGTGAGGGAGCGGTCCAATGTTTAAGCAGAAATCATAGTGTATAAACAAAATTTTTATAATATAAGCTACTTATTGACACGTGAACCCATTTGTATATTATGTCCCATCACACTCTAACCTCAAACTAAATCATTAGTAAATATAAAATGAAAGAGGATTTTACCAGGTGTTAGGGTCGATAAGATCACCTTCTCCCCACCGAGCAAAGCAATACTTTTCTTTTGTACTATTGTTAGAAATTTTTTTTTTTACAAACAAAACCTGCCACTAATTATATATGCTATTAATTACATTCTCATATAGAGTCGGCCTAATCCATATTCTTTAATGCCAAATGCAATCATTAGCAATAATTAGAAAAAGGAGAAAGGACTCTTACATGATAATTGTTTCCACTCTACGGTCCCGACGCAAACATGGCGTTTGAAAATAGAATAGTTAAATATGGCGACATAGTCTTTGTAATTGCGCTTAATTTTAAAATAATATTTGTAAGAATATGTTTTGGTAATTTTAGAATTCATAAGAAATTTTTAAGTATAATATTAACGATTGAAATGAGTTCTGAAACCAAATATTTTTTTCCTAGTCGCCTTTTCTTTCCCAACCTTTTCTCTTAAATTTTGGAACTATAACTCACAAGTTTATACTTGAATCTGAACACTACATATATCCTACAAAATAGGCAACTCTTGGGCTAATTTAAGGGTTTTATTAGCAATAAAAAAACTGCAGCCTCGGAAAACACAATGAACTTATGAAGAACTCAACAGGATTACACAGAGTGGTATAGGAGTAGGTGCGTACCAGCAAGTTTCAATGAAAGACGCTAGCAGGAAAAGGAAATGACCACCTTGGTTGTGCCTTTTAAATCGGTTGTTTTGGCGGTTTTTCTGGGGCAGAGGTCAGCTTGTGTTTGTGGACCATTGTTTGGTCAAGCTTAGCCTACCAGTATATAGTATCATCCCCACTACAGAGCCCCTAGATTGAAACGACCAGTCTCGGGGCGTTCTGTCCTAAAATGACTCTTCAAAATCAAACAACTTATTCGAGTTTGTGTGCACAGCCTTTGGGAGGTGATACATATTATTATGTTGCCCTGCAGTTAGTCATTGGGTCCTGCGGGGTCCCTCTGGTACTTCATTAGACTCCTGGCCTATTTTTGGACTCTTTTCATTACTTTGCCACCAGATAGGTGGTGCTTGGTAGCGCTTGATCTATGTTCTGGGAACACGCCTTGGAGTTCCTTCTTCATCCCTTGGGTTCACCAGGTATGGATCACCATCCTTCCAAGGTAAAGCAATTACCTTGAAATATCTAAGATCCCAGTGGTTCTGTATCTTGTTGCGACACAGCCACCGCTTTCTAATGAGTACAGTATCACCTAGAGATATGATCTCTCCTGTCTGTTTAAAGTCTTGTGCTTCTTTCCCTTTCAATGTCTCTTGTTCTAGCTTAGTATAGGCTCTTCAGTGAGCTTCCTTGAGTCCATCAATGTGAGTGTGGAGCCACTTTATGTCAGGCTCTGTGCCCACGTCATCTGCCTCTGTCCTAATAAGAAAATCAAGTGGAAGCTTGGGTGGTCTGCCAAACATTAGCTCATAGGAGCGAATCCTGTGGTTTATGTGGGGTACAATTGTACATAAAAACTAACTTTGGGATGTGGTCGGGCCACCTTTGTTTTTTTTCGGGTGGCAACGTTCTAAGCAGATCATGCAGGGTTCTGTTGAACCTTTCACACTGTCCATTGGCTTGGAGTTGTAAGGTGTTCTACGAGACTTGTTAATGTCATAGGAGGAACACAGTTCGGCAATTAATTGTGACTCCCCCATAATGTAGGAATCAATGTTGGATAATGACCTTAGCAACAGTACTAGCTCGTTGGTCTTTCGTGGGAATGACGATTGTATAGTTTGTAAATACATCTGTAAGTATGAGGACATCTTCCTTTCCATCCATGGAAGGTTCCAGCCAATGGCTAAGATTTCTAGAGGCTTTGAGGCTAGTATTCTACCGGCAGGCCCTTTTGGTATCCGTGTGGGTAGTTTAGCCTCCTGCCATCGTTCGCACCCCTGTATATAGCCTGTCACATCATGGTACATTTTTGGCCAGTAGCATCTTTGTCTCAATAGTACAATAAACCGCTCCCTTCCTTGATGCCTCAATGAATGTGCTGATGATATTACTTGTTCACGAAGTTGGGCTGGGAGTATCTAGCTGATACTGTCTATATAAAATACCTTCACTTTCTTCCACTGATTTAATAGTGTTTGCATATTGGGGGATAACTTCCTCCGTTCCCCTGACTTGGGTTTGAAGCCAGAGTGCCAAAAAACTGAGAGTGCTGCAATATCTGGGTCTTTTATCTGTAATTCAGCAAATTCTTTCTTGCTATAGGATGGGAACGTTTCAGCAAGATCAGTTGCTTCTACAAAGGCTGTGGCCTTTTCATTACTGTCCCTAGGCCCACAATTCACTATTTCACTAATCTCCTTTGGCACAGTCAAAGATGTTTGATTGCCGCTTATTGCATTTTCCTCGTTATCTTTGCTGTCTTCTCTATTTTCAAAAGGATTCCGTGATAGAATATCTGCATTCACATTAGAACGTCCAGACCGGTAGAATATTTTGTAGTCAAATATTGTCAAATCAGCTGCCCATCGCTGTTCGACTGCTCCCAGTCTACAGGTTAGGTTTTGAGGTGAGACAATGGATTATTGTCAGTATAAACTTGAACTTTTGTTCCAAGTAGGTATTTTCTAAACTTTTCAGTCATTGCCCACTTATGAGACACCACCAGCAGAAACTGTGTGTCCCAAATAGTTAACTTCACTTCTCATAAATTGACATTTCTCTGGGTTCAGCTTCAAACCTATTGTCTTTAGCCGCTCTAATACCTTCCCTAGGCAAACAATGTGGTCTTCAAAGGTAGAACTGTAAACAAGGATGTCATCTAAGTACACCAGCACACTCTGTATGATCAAGCCACTCATTTGAGATTGCATAAGGCGGCTAAAGGTGACATGGGCATTGCACAGGCCAAAAGGCATTCGATTATATTCAACAGTCCAAACGGAGTTGTGAAAGCGGTCTTATGCTTATCCCTCTCATCGACTTAAGTTTGATGGTAACCACAGGCCAGGTTCATAGAGGAGAAAAATTTAGCACCATGCAATGTGTCTAATGCCTCATCAATTCGAGGTAGTGGATAGGCGTCCTTTTTGGTCTTGTTGTTTAGAAGACTCGTCTGTTCTGAAATGGCTGTAATGCAGATCTCTGATGCTGATACCTTGAGGAAGTTGGCAGCCTTTGGCGTTGGCCAGTCAAAGTTTGTAAATGTGCCAAGAACCATGGATTCGGAGAGAACAAGATTTTCCCTTGAGAGGTTGATAATTTCAGCTTGACAGATGCCATTTGTAGACTTAACGATAGCTCCAGAAACAACCATTGCCCTTGGAACAGACTGGGATCGTTCTAGCAGTAGGTCACCACTGTAGTCTCTGGGGCATCCCATCAGTTGGATTACTTTCTTAGATTCTGCTGGAAACAACAATTTACCTTTGACAGCAAGTCGAGCTCTACCCCATAGGCTACTTGCTTTTTGGGTTTGCTTGAAGTTTTAACAGCGATTTTTGAGACAAGCACTCCCAGGCCCTCTGTACGTAACACATACATTCCTTATGTCCAGGTACTTCGTCTTTGTGAAACTTCCATCCCGGGGAGTTTTGATCCTTGGTTACCAAGAAGCCTCAGTTTCTTATAACTTTATCCATGAGCTAAACATCCGCTTCAAAGTAACCAACGTATGATATAGCCAGCCCATTAGCTGCGGTGATTTGGAACCAATTGTCCACACACTGTAGCACATGGCCTTGAGATTGAAAGTGCTCATTAAAAAATGACTCTGTGAGTAGAGACACCTGTGACCCAGTGTCTAGCAAGCATGTGAATCTTACATTTCCGATGACTGCAACTGTAATTGGGCAGGTGCCAATTGCATTCTTCTTGATGTGACTAATTGAGTCATGAACAGCCTCTCCCAGCACTTGACTCCTCATGCCAGGGGGCTGGAGTTTGGGTGGATTTCACAGCGATGAAAAACGTGACCTGTCTCCCAACACTTGGTACAGACTGGAACCCCGTCGGCTGTATATGGGAAAAATCCCCTGTTTGTGTTCAAATAAGTCCTGCGGGACCTGTTGGGCGATTCATTGCCGGTGTTGTGGTACGACTGTTTACAGATGCTATTGGGCTATTAGCTGACCACTGTCCCTGGGTCTTAACTTGCGTATTGCTAATGTAGTCACTGATATAGTGCATTAGAAACAATTAAAGAAAATAATAATGTTATAAGTAAAGCGAATGCATGAATTCATGAATAAAAAAAATATTATGAATGAAGCTAAAAATAGCTAATTGACCTGAATTTAATTTTTTTATGAAAACATTGGCGAACGAATATTGATCTATGTAAAAAATGCTTTAGAAAAACAAATTTGAATGTTATTTTATTCTTACTCTGGAACAAATATAACCTAACACAACTCCGATTCATTTCTTAATGTGATACTTATGTTTACATACTAAAACAATCTGCACCCCTAAGCTGTCAGAAGATATTATTGCCTTAATAATTAAAATTTTGTTCAAATTATTAATGCATTTATTATAAATATATTTAGATCTAGGCTTTATTTAGTCTTATTTAGACTGTCAAGTGTAGGGCCCTATAATGAGGATATGTCAAAACTGCGTGCTATAAAAGTAGTTCGTCATTTTTGAAACTTATAACAAAAAATAAGTTAGTATCAAAATTCTTTTTTAAAACAGCATTTGAATCAGTATTCTATTCAATGGAAAATATATTTTGTAATGAACCATTGACACTTTTACCATTGCGACCTTAGATGCTAATTTTTTGTAACAATGCGCGAATCTATGAATGAAGCTTGAGTTATTAATGAACAAGTCCATGACCTTTTTTTTTAAAAAAAAAATTACCTCTTCAGAAGTTTTTCATTGAAAAGTGGTGTAATTTTTTGAAAAATCTGCTTGCATATATAATTGTAAAAATTACATGGTTCACTTTCAGAAAAGAAAAAAGTTGCCGTAGCATCAGAACCTGGAATGATCTAAAATATTATGATATCCGATTTTCATTCTCTTTTAGTTTCTGAGATATAAACGAATCGGACAGATAGACGGACAGACAGGCCACACTAAACTAATAGCGTCTTTTCCCCTTTTGGGGGCGCTAAAAATGCACAGTTGGTATGAATGAATTTTAAGATCTGTAGGAGTGTTCAATGGCACATAACCTGTTGCTTCCTTTTACATATTTATTTTGAAAACGAGTATATGTATTCTTTGTAAAGGTAAAGACAAAATATATCTATACTATAAAGTAGAATGTAAGTAGTATGTATGTTCCGAATGGAAATCAAAATCGTTTGACCAATCTTAATGAAACTTTGCACACATGTTCCTTTGGTGCTAACTGGAACCGTGACGTATGTACAGTAACCCTAAAACAAACTAAAGACCCTCAAAAAAAGTTGCCCAACTCTATGAAAGTATTAGTATTTGATGAATCAATGCCATGTCTACCATGTTTAGATCGAAAGGATCTAGATCTAATTTTTAAAACTACACTTTGCACAGATAGTTTTTTACTTTGACACATGAAAATATAAAATATAGTCTATTGATTTCATTATTTAATAAAATTAACCTTCAAATTTGTGTTTCAAAAGTATTTTTACATAAATTTGCTCCTTATATCTGCGAATTTAGAAGTCCTCACGTACATTCTTTCATTAGACAAGACCAAATGTTACACATCTCTCTATTCCTAGGTCTAAAACTTTAATTCAACTCTAAGATGATAGAACTTCTCATCGCAAACATTATTTTATACTTTAACACATGAACAACCAATTATAGTCCATTCGTTTCATATTTTAATCAAATTAACATTCAAATTTGATTTCCTAAAGCATTTTTCATACATTCGTTCGCAGTAGCTGCTAAGTCGTATTGACATACATTTTAATATCAAAATAATTCAGTACATCTAACAAGAAAGGTCATGCATGCGCAGAGTGAAGCCTCCACGCACGCGAAGAAAGAACTCTATCCAAGTCAATATTTAACTCTATATTATTCTACATCTAGGCTCTCTCTGACTCAAGATCTAATTCAAATATGATAGATCTACTTTATAATTTAACACATGAACATACAAAATAAAGTCTTTTCATTTCATATTTTAATCAAATATATGTATGCCTACAAATGTTTTTATTTGAAAAAAATGGATTTAGGTCGATTAGCTATTTTGATAGCTCCATTCATACTATTTTTACAATAGTAGACCGGCGGCATAGCATATGCCGCTATTTTGCAGGGCCGGCCTTAGGTGACCGCAATGACTCCGCACTTATGCGACCGCAGTGGGCCCCGCACTTTCTTAGGATCCGCGCTAATTCTAGGTGTATCAATTATTAAATTAAACCATTTTATAACTTATAACAGATTTCCCGTTCAGCTCATTTCCACAAAAATCTGTCGCTTGAAGCCTCTTTCCACCTGCTTTGAGGACCTCTACGAAAGTGTGGTATGAAGTTGTACTGGGATGTTCCTGTTATCGATTTTTTCGTAATGGCCTCCATGTCATTGCAACTCTTATTATGCGTAATTCATTTTGTAGGAGTACATGTCCCGCAAACCTCATGCGACGTTCTGTCACAACCTTACCAAGTGCTCGACTCCCAGTTCGGCATAGCATTTCCTTGATTGAGACCCAATCTCTATAACTGATTATTAAAATCCGTCTTAGCCATCTTTGTTGAGCTACATTTAGTCTTTTTCAATTTAGGCAGATGACTATCCACTGCACTTTATTAACAGAGCCCAGCTACTGGTAGAAATTTTGTAACCTCTCTTGGCTACGCTCTTGGAATTAGGTGACTGTAGTTTGCTTAAGATTTTATATCGAAAAGGGAAGTTTTATCGTCAAAATCATCTATTGTGGGTTTTAAATTAAAAAAAGTTTTTTTTTAACAACATCAAAACCCCATTTAGCTACGCTAATAGAATTTGGTGAGTGTAGTTTGCTTTAGAATAATATTGAAGAGGGGTTTTCAACCTCAAAACTCTCTGTAGGGGGATTTTAAGCTAAAAAAAATCTGGAGTAGTGTTAAGCTAAAGAAAGCAATCTGGAGGAGGATGTTTAAACTTAAAACTCCCCTTTGGCTTGGCTAAGCTCAAAGAATTTTAGTGTGTAGTTTACTTTTTTTATATTGAAGAGGTATTTTTTAGCATCAAACCCCGATGAGGGGAGGGGTTAAACTCAAAACTCCCTTTGGTTACTCTCAAAGATTTTTGAGTGTGTAATTTGCTTTTTTTTATATTGATGAGGTATTTTTTAGCTTTAAACGCCGATGAAGAAGGGTTTAAATTTAAAACCCTTTGGTTACTCTCAAAGATTTTTGAGTGTGTAATTTGCTTTTTTTATATTGATGTGGTATTTGTTTATCTTCAAACCCCTCTGGTGGGAGGTTTAAATTTAAAACCACTTTGGTTACGCTCAAAGATGTTGAGTGTGTAATTTGCTTTTTTTTTATATTGAAGAGGTATTTTTTTTAGCTTCAAACCCCACTTGAGGGGGTGGGGTTAAACTAAAAACTCAAAACTCCCTTTAGCTACACTCACAGAATTTGGAAAGTGTAATCCCCCCTCCTTTGATATAATTGATTCCCCCCCACACACACCCTTTCAATATAATTGCTCTCCTCAAAGGTAATTATAGCGGCAAAATTCAAAAAATTAAATTCATTTTCTATAGATAGATAGATAGATAGATAGATAGATAGATAGATAGATAGATAGATAGATAGATAGATAGATAGATACATACATACATACATACATACATACATACATACCGGTACATATATACATACATACCGTAACACACATACATACAGTGTTTTTTTTTTGTGACGGTACGCACCGGTACGGCATACCGCATCTTTTTTCGATGTGGGGAAAAAAGTATTACTTTTCTTGTATTTGAACGACGTTTATTGTTAATTTATTCGTAGTTCAAAGTTCATCACAGAGTACCTGCACCTATTTGTTTACAAAAAAGGCACTGCATACATATAGCCTAATCCCCTAAGTTCAGACACTTGTTTAGTGCAGTTGAAATAAATCTAAGTCTCAGCTCTTTTCTCTGTTTGTATATTTACATTTGTCAAAATAGAGCCGCATTACGCTGTCTTAAATCCTTCCCAGTATTCTCATCTTACCCTGTCCACACTGTTTTCGATTTCTCCACAGGGTCGAGGAAACAACAAAACTACTTGACTTACTGTGCAGAGACACTGCGTAATGGCTAAGTTGTACAAAAACCTTTCAACTCTTGTTCAATTATGCATGCATCCACCGGTTCTTAGGAAAACATTTGGCTGGAAACAACGTGTGCACTGTAGGCTGGAGGAGTGAGCCATCCCCTTACTGAAACAACTAAATACACAAGCTAAAAAAAAAGTTACATTTTCCTAAGACCACCTAAGTACACACGACCAATCGCCTTTCTAAACTAATGAACTAATGATGTTTGTTATTGCGGACAGATTGTTAAGGTTGAGATTATATCGACTTTATCGAGTTTATTGATCTCATCTACAACTTTGTGGTCTTGCTTTACTCGGGCTTGTACTTTTTCCAGGCAGACAGTAATTATGCTTTAACACAGTCAGTGTCCGTCAGTATGGGAAGAAAGAATACTTACATCGTACTTTAATACAGTCAGTATGGGAAGAAAGAATACTTACATCATACTTTAACACAGTCAGTGTCCGTCAGTATGGGAAGAAAGAATACTTACATCGTACTTTAATACAGTCAGTGTCCGTCAGTATGGGAAGAAAGAATACTTACATCATACTTTAACACAGTCAGTGTCCGTCAGTATGGGAAGAAAGAATACTTACATAGTACTTTAATACAGTCAGTGTCCGTCAGTATGGGAAGAAAGAATACTTACATCATACTTGCTATTTTGTACATATTCCCTTTGAATTTATCGCCTACCCTCTGGTTGATACTAATGAAGTTTAGGATGTATTAGTTTTATGTGGTCTGTCTTTCCATCACGTTTAGGTCGCAAAAAAACTAGATAAAATTTTGAAAATCAGCACAATTTTGGTGCAACGGTTAGTTTTTATCTTCTGAAAATTAACAGTTTTGGTTTTAAAATGAAGTATTCAAGCAGTTTCCCTAAACCTTTGAAGAAAATAAGACTTCAGGGGAGGTAGGTCTTTAAAGTAGGTCACATACGAAAAAAATATTCGTGGCTCATTATTAACTATTTGCTCCATTTATTAACTAACTTAGTTTTTCCAAATATTTTTTATCCGATAATTTGCTCTAGTTGTAGCTCAAGTAGAGAGCTAACTTTTGTTTTATTACACACTCCAGACCAAACCTCAATCTGAATCACTAGCGGATCCAGAACTTTGAAGGGGGGGGGGGCGATTTTTTTCTAAACCCTAACGCCCAGTAAACCCTAACCCTATGCAGCGTTTCTCAACCTTTGGCGAAAAAAACAAACAAAAAACAGTTATGTTGAGGCCTTTCTCTTGCGCGCTTGGGGGTCTGGGGGAGCGCTGTAAGCTTCCCCAGTTGGGTAAGGGGCAAAGATCCGACGCCAAAAGCGTTTACTTGCATTTTTCACTACAGAAACGCATCCTCCGGACATTTACAGCTCATTATGTATCAGTGGGGTTCGGGGCGAAGCTCTGACGCCAAAAGCGTTTTCTTGCATTCTTCACTGAAGAAACACATTCTGCTGACCTAAAGCTCATTATTCATCCTATTATAAAGGACCTTTTGAATAATGTTGAAAAATATTCTAATATGAATTTATAGGCCCTTAATACATTGCAAATAAAACCGATTTATTTTCTTGAAAAAATAAGAGTACACCACATATTTAGATTAAGGCTTTGAGGATCACCGACGAAAAAAAATTATTTGATAAATAATATTCAGTAAAATTGAATTATAAATTGTGAGTTATAGTCCCAAATTTTTTTAACTAGAAAAATATCAGATTGAGTAAAGGTTGGAAAAGGCGACTTAGAAATAATTTTTTGGGTTTAGAACTCATCTCAATCTCAAATAATTAAGATAAATTCATGTGAAATTACATAAAGTCTGTCTGGAAAGGGGAGAGGCGGTAGAGTGAAAGGATTAATCCTCGC